TTTGTTACCAAAATCCTGCTGGTTCAGCTACATTCAACTCTAACTACTTCAAAACGATATGTTGCAAAATTAGACCAAAACACCATCATATCTAGTAACAAAAATGCCTAAGACGTATGCAAACGTCAAGTATAATGTTTCAACAATACCGAAAATTCACGGCACATCAAACCTCAAAATACTCTCCCAAAAGAGGACTGCTAATTTAAACTGAATACTCAACAATATCCTTCCAACCATTCAACAGGTGAACCCATTACTAAAACCAATTAGTATCATGTTTTGCTTAGATAAAGTGGGTGTATGGAGGTGACCCCTAGGGATTAACACATTGTCTCTGTTAAGGGGGTGAGAATCATCGTCTTTGAGTTCCAAAAGTAATCACACATCGTCATTTATTGAATGAAAAAAATTGGTAAAAATAAATGATATTTTGTGATACATGTCAACAAATAAAGGATCGAAATTTAAAAGAGAATATCGTAGTATAAAAATAATCGTACAACAGAAAATAGACTTGATTGACAATCGTGAAAGAATTTCGACCATAATCACCATTGAAAGGTCCATAATCCTTTTGGCATGAGCAATTCTAATTCCTTCCAAAACTCCCTTTAAAATCTTAGAGCTATTGGAATCCGTGGATGTCACTCAATTTGAACAAAAATGGAGCTAGTTTTGAGGATTTTAGTCTTATGGATTGGCTGGACTTTCATATATACTGTGTTCCAAGATTTTGGAAATTTATTTCGAGATAAAACTATTATATATGCTACTTTGAGTTTCATAAGTAACCAAACGGAGTTATTGATTGAAAATAATTATTGAAGTATTATTTCTTGCACCTACTTAGGCTTTAGTAATTAATGAATGTCTAACTACACATTATCTAGACGTTGAAGTGAAACTATATATATAAAGTATTACTTTGGAGACTTGAAGAATATAGAATTCTTTTATATTTCTTGGGATTCCATTGTTTCTATTCCATGTTTATAACTAGTAGTTTCTGTTCTCATATCAAAAAAGGTGATGGTATGTTCTAAAACTTCTTCATCTATGTTATTTTTCATTAATGTGTTTAGTATTGAAATCGTTCAAGTATTTATTACCTGAAGATATTAATATGGAACTATTTCAGGTAACAAATGCTTTCTCTAATAGAGAACAAAAAGAGCAAGAGGCATTCAATACAATTTTCAATGCCGGAAGAGATCATATATGATATATATTCTAAGCTCCTAGTTGAATATTTAATGTGTGTTAAGTGTATTTCTATACTTTACAATTCTCTTATTTTGGATCCATGTTTTGTAGTTATGCCTCATAGATGCTCTATATCTCATCTCGATGAGACTAATTATCTTACACCATAGGTCAAAAGGTAGAAACTGAAAAGGCCATTATTTGTAAAATTAAGGAGTTAGATGACATTAAATATCCTATATTTCATTAACATTTTGTTCTACTTATGGAGTAGGAATGATCACCCTCTACTCTTTATTAATCCCAATGCAATATTAGTAAACTATCTTCCCTAAATTCCATTGATGATAAATTTACCCATTATTACTATTTATTTGGTTTTGAACCAGATGAAAAAAAGTACAAAGTTTGATGAGTAGTATTCCGCTAAAGATTTTCTCACCCGTAATATATTGGGTTTTAACTCTTTATTCAAGTGAATCGTGGAGAAAGACTAAAAGTGCACCATGTTCGTTGTTTCTGCTACTTTCTGAAGGAGTTTGCCTCAAAGGAGCCATCTATTCCGTAGGTACTCAGGATAAAAGATTCATAGTGGAATTTATTCTTAAGAAGGAGAATTTAAGAATTATGAAATTTTAGAACGATGTAATAGATGTTCAGACAAGAAAGTTTTATAACTTGATAGAAGTGAAAATAAAAATTAGCAGTCATTGATCGTTCAAGATGGGATGTGGGGGAGTTTACTTTGTGGATTTTTTCGGAGTTGCAAAACATAAGGAATGGGAGAATCAAACTATCATATTTTCTTAGGCATTTTGTTTCTAAGTTGCTCGGACTCGGGTGCGGGAGTCCGATACGGGTTCGGATCTAAAGGTCGGATCCTTCATGATATAAATTTTATGGATCCATGAATAAATCAGGGTGTGTGGATTTGCCTAAAAATAATTAGAATATCTAAAAAAATAGAGTTATGAAACCCAAATTATATGATATTATGTGGAGAACTTGAGGAGAATCCTGGATGGAGATCAAAGGAAAAAGAGTAACCTAGAAATTTTTATATAAAAGATATTCCATTTCCTTCAATTCACCTTATCTTTTGTATTGATTACAAAAATCATTAAAATTGTCCAGAGTTTACCCATAAATTTTGGTCAAAATATGCAAAATCATTTCAACGAATCAGACACGAAATCCACACCCGCACCCACACCCACATCGTATTGACACAGGTGCAACACCAAAAGTAAAGAGTCAGAGCAACTTAGCTTTGTTCTAGCTTGAAAACATATTTCTAGGGTTTCTTTGGTAGCAGTACACCTGATGGTGAGAGTGTTTTCATAACTTACAAGCAAAATTGGATTACATTTTTTTATTTTCAGAAGAAAAGTTGAAGTGAAATTAAAACAACAGAGCTTGCAGAAAATATTGAGATCATTCGTATCTATAGTCTTGTACAAAGACTTTTATCTTGTTTTGAAATTTATTATTTTGGAGGGTAACTAGTTTGCTTTTTGGTATTAATTCTTATGGAAGACATCACTGTCTATATATATATATATATATATATATATATATATATATATATATACCTTGATATTGTTCCTATTATTTTTATAGATAGCACAATGTTGTGTTCCTTAGTTTGTTCTATTCAGACAAGTGTAGAATGAAATGATAAAAAAGAATGAAAATTTGGAGACTTAACATTCAAGGTATTCTGCTTATACAGGCAAAGTTGTACTAACGGACCTCAAAGGCATCCATAAAACAATAAAAGTTCCCAGGTCTTAAGCTAAATAATACAAGAAACATTTCTGCAAAACATAATATCTAGGAAGAAATAAGACAAATTGAACATCTAAACAAGCTCAATCTTCGGAAAGGCATATGAAACTTGAAAACATTCCCCAATGACAGTCTTGAGTGAGTAAAAACATGGAGTGTAGCTAGTTGCTCCAGTGCCACCGTACACTTTCACCTTCGTAAACTTATTTTCTTTTGGGTTGTAAGAAACAAGTTGTGTGCCAAGGTCTCTTTGCATCAAGATTTCTCCATCTTTCCAAAGTAAGATTGGTATAAATTTATCACCACGGATAGCTGCTTGAATACTATCCTTCAAAATGCGTTGTTTAGTCCAAGATTCAACTATTCCATATTCTTTCATCCACCATATATCAATATACTGATTATTACTATCATCAGACAAACACAAACAATTCCCCAACTCCCCTAGCGTCAAGCCCAACAATGGGGTTTGCAGACCACGCGGAGTTGACAAGGACTTCACCTCTTCAGTAAAACTGTTAAATGAATAAATGTTTTCATTATTTTTGCAACCCATCCAATGAATAACACCATTGATGTTAACCTTGCTAAATAATCCACATAGAGGTTCTGGAGCCTTGCCCACATTTTTCCATTTCTCATTAGCTCCTAGAGTATAAACCTCCAATTCAGATACTTCTGGACTTCCAACAGACTTTGTAACTATTGATCTCAATACTTTAAACTGACCGGAGGCTTTACTAAAGCAGAATGCATAAGAAACACGCCAATTTTTTTTCTCCCATTCGGGCAATTTAACCTCGAAATACTCACCTAAAATAGGATTGCTAATGTAAATTCTATGGTCTATGTCATATCTCCTACCACTCAACAAGCATAAAAATCTGTTACATGAACCAATTAATGTCATGTTACCCCAAGAAAATTTGGGTGAAGGGAGGTGAAACATAGGGCTCAACACAATAGCTCTATGTATGGGGTGAGAATCATCTGCTTTCAGTTCTACTAGTAACCGTACAGATTCATTAATTGAAAGCAAAATGCTGGGAAAATCAGATGATCTTTTGAGGTGATACATGTTAATAAACAAAGGGTCGGAAGTTAAAAGAAGGTACCAAAGTTTACAAACAATCTTACAACGGAAGATGGACTTGATTGTCAATCGTGAAAGAATTTCGATCATAACCACCGTTGGAAGGTCCATCATCATGGTGACTGGGGAGATTTTTCTTCCTTCACAATCTTCCTGGAAAACCTTAATTAGAGCTTTGAGCATCCATGGCTGTCACTTCCTTTGAACCAAAAGGGTGCTAGTTTTTAGGGTTTGGTCTTATGTATTTGCTGGGCCCTCATATATTGTGGGCTTCAAAATTTATAAAATTTATTTCAAGCTAAAAGGAATATATAAACAAAGTTAAATGACTTCTAGAAACTATAAAACAAATAAAAGTGACTTCAGTAATTCATTATTATAAGTTCAGTGGCTATTTAGATATTAAACTCTATATTATTATGTTTTAGCGTAAGTTAAGTAGTTATAAGGAATTGCGGTAAATTCCTTCAAAGTTCCATAATCGTGATAGGAACATCAAAAAACTTGAATTCCATTTTAGTAGCAAATTTTTAGGGTTTAAGTTTGCTCCTAGATAGCTATAGATGGTGCAGGAGAAAAGAAAATGGTCGCACAATCCATAATTACTTGCATTTCAAAATGTACTAATAGAAAACTATTATAAGATAAAAATTCAAGCTCCTTGCAAAAAGGCAATACAATGCATCTTGATAATTCAATAAGTTGTATTGAAGGAATAAACCTTCTTTTTTTTCAAACTTGAGATTAGTTCCAACCTATTCGTCTATTTGTGGAACTTTTTTAGCTGCATAAAAGTTTCATAAATCCAACACAACAACATATTTAGTGTAATCTCACAAAAGAGATTAAAAAAAAATGACGGAAAAAGAAAGATATTTTATTTTTTTAAATCAAAGTGGGTCTCAGGGACCATTTATTAGAAGCTAAAAAAGGAACAACCAGATCATAAAATGATCTGGTCCAAAAACAAAATACTCTGTCCAAAAACAAAATACAAAAATGAAACAACCAAAATAAAGGAAAAAGGAGTTGGTCATCTTCAAGCTTGAGCTTCCATGGAGGATGAAGACGAAGTGCTGCCTTGGAGAAGCTGCGTTCGGTTCGTTTCCATCCCATTGAATCCACACAGCTCGAACAACTTAGGTAAGAATCGATCTGCTCCCTAACTCACTTTTGATGTTGTAAACGATCCTTGAGCTCCATTTTTAAGTTTTACCCTTTCCTGCAGATTGAGTCAGAAACCCTAACTAATACCACTGCATAGGCTAGGTAATTCTTATTAATTTTGCTAAAGATTGTTTCTTTAAGTACACTGTTTCACTGATGTTTAGATTTATATATCTTGATAAACCCAATATGATTTCCTTTTCTTTGTGCTTTCACCTGAAATACTATTGTTGTGTGCTGCATTGTGCATTAGTATCATTATCACTGTAGCCATATTTTCTGTTTTGCATTTTTCTGATTCTCAAGTTTGCAATTCCTTGGATGACTCCAATCTGCTCCATGGTCGGAGAAATCGACCTCTCTGATGAAGGTAGCAGGGAGAGAAGGATAGAATATAGTTCAAATACCTCCAATATATAGACATAGATTGAAATGGATCCGAATTTGGACAAATTTCACTGAAGACACTCAAAAACTCTCACAAGTGCCATGAAATTAGGTCCTTTGAAGACTTCTTCAACTCGGATTGACCTAATCTAAACCACAAAATGAAGTTGAATGAACAATGACTTTTCTCCTACTTTTCATCTTTTGTGAACTTGTTATACTTCGATTTAATTCATACATGACCTTCTCTGCAGGTTGAGCCCCAAAGAGACTGATACCACTGCATAAGGAAGCCACATATGAGTTCCATCTCCGCATAAACAATATATTGCAATTACATCCACTTATGCAAGTATGCACGTACTACCATCGCCTTTTGATATTTTTTTGTCATCCTCTTGTTGTTGTTGTTTGTCTCAATTATGCTTGTGTATTGAAATCCCTGTTTTGGATGTTTCTAATTCTAAGATTGGGAGTTTGTGTTTTATCTAG